AGAACACAGAGTTCCGTTTTAGCGGACGTCATTGTGGTGGATCGGTGGGAATCTGATGTAAATGGACATGTCTTTTTACAACTGACTCCCCATAGACCAACATGGTCCATTAATTTAATTTTTTTCCTTCATCGTAAGATGGAAAAAAAAAAAACTTAAGGGACATGGATATCACAAGAGTGACATCCGTTCCCTACTGCTCCAATCGGCAGGGCATTCCCTGCTGATTGGAACTGACAACGCCCATGTATAAGGAGCCTAAAGGTAAAAATTATCTGTTTGACATAATATGTACTTCGGTTGACCTGGAAGTTATATGTTTTTCTTAACAAAGCTGGAGTTTCATATTAATAGACAGAATCAATAAATAATTTGAATTGCCTGCAACCTTTACATTCATGGAGAGAAGGGGCGGTAGCAGAAGATCCCATAGCGACCCAGGCGGCCCGCACGGCATCTGGCCGGGCCCCACTGTGCCCCAGGCCCCATAGCGACCACCTGGGTCGCTATGGTGATTGTTACGCCACTGATGGAGAGGTGTTAGGGATCATGTATAAAAGCTGAAGAAAACAGAAGTGTGTTACCGTTAGCAAACGTCGTTTTCCAAAATATTATTAGAGCAAAATCACAATTTATCCCTCAGATGGAGATAATTTCTGCCCCTCTGCCTGAAGGATGGTTTTATATAAAACACACCTCTCCGATGTGCTGGAGTGAGGTTAGCATGCATAATGATAGCCAAACTGCATTTACAGGAAATGAAGTGCGCATTGTGACATTTCCGCCCCCACAAGTCTCTGAACTGTGCTGAGCACACTGTTGGCATATTGCGCTAGTATTATACATAAACATGCTTCTTAAGTTTATTTGTCCGAGGGCCATTTTACACCAAGCCAGCTTCCTGCTAATTGTCTAACAATACACTTAAAACTAAGAATCTGCCTTTTGTGTGAGTGACTCATCCAGGAGATATCACGAAAAAAATACTACTTCATTAAATAATGGAAATGTTGGCACTTACTCCACAGAGGAAATCACCTCTCTTTCTTGCTTAGGAAGAAAAATACATGACAGTTTGCAGAACATAATGTAATATTTTAAAATAATGCAAGGGAGTGCAGATTTAAAACTGAACTCCAGCCACATACAAAAATGAAATGTGATGCAGCACTTGCCTCCTATAGAAGACGTGTCATAGTCTTTCTTGTGCCAGCAATTCCTGTAGCCTTTAATCTTCATTTTATTGCAGCCTTGGAGCACAATCATGAAGCTGACTTCCTGTAATTGAGTCTGCTCTCCTCAGCCAGCTCCCTGTAAGCAGGGTGACAGGTCCCCTCAACACCTCCTCTATAGGTTTTTGAACTGCTGATGTCACCATATCCGCACAGGCCACATTGTGTGTGCAATTTAGTCTGAATCCTCAAGCCTCACCTTGACAGCAGTACAGACTGCACAGGGGTAGGAGGTAGGCGTGGCCATACAGTGGGGAAGCTCAGTCAGTACAGTAATGAGGAGGTATTTTGCATCTCCCGACCTGTAAATAATACTGTAGCTTGATGCACTGAGGCTAAGAACACAGTTTTTTAGATAACAGACATACCAACCTGCCAAAACTAATTTCAGGGTGGTGCCTTCTCCCCCATTCACCATTCGCCACGGCGGATAGGAGGTAATTAGCAGATGGCAGAGGAGCTAATGCTTCCCCTGCTATCTGCTGTTTTTGTTTTTTGTATTCTGACTATTTAGAATAACAAAAAAAAACAGATAGCAGGGGAAAGAATAGCTAGACTGCTATTGACCATTTCAAATTGCAATAGCCAATAGCAGGCTGGCTGTTGCACCCTGCCCACTGCTGCTGTCTACCAGCAGAGAAGGACCTGAAGGAGAATTAAAAAAAACAATGCTTCCCCTGCTATCTGCTGTTTTTTTTTCTTAATATTCTGACAGCGGCCACCAGGAAGTGACTTAGACCAGCCGGGGGAGTAGAACCACCAGGTATCCCGGAAAGGTTTACTCTGCTAGATAGAGTTAGAAAATGTTTCTCTTGCGGGTGTCAGGGAGCCGCTATCTTATAGCTAGAGACTCCCGGAACATCTGGGAGAGCTGGGTTGTCTAAGATACACAGGGAGAAGAGTAATGTGTGTGGATTTCTGTTCTTTAACTGTGGTGTCCTTCCAGTGTTGGTGTTGTCCCTGGGAATACGAGGGAATTGTCTGCTCCCTTGTCAGCCAACAGACTCAGAGCTCGATAAGCTATTCTTTTTTTATGACAGAATGCACTAAACCATTAACATAGTGAACCCATGTTGAAGAATCCTGTAAATTCTCAACTTGGGGTTTGTTGCAGGAACGTCTGAGTTTCTGTACCCTATAACGAATATATGGTACAATGTAGCTCAGATATTAGCCACAGATCTGCGCCTGGTCTGACCAGGCTCAGACTTGTATATCGGGCTGACTGACTCCCTCTGATGAGCGTCTGTACAGACACCTACCAGAGGGAGACTGAACAATGAGAAGCTGCCTCCTCCCTGCCTTTGCCTAGTTCAGCAGAGGGGGTGGAACAGCTATCAGGTTCCCTGTGTCCAGGGGGACACACATGTGAGGGATCGGGCAGCTCTGTGCCTGCTCTTCTCTCTTCCCTCAGTGATCACATCCTGATCTTGGGGGAGAAAGAGAAACAAAAGTGATATAGTGAGCTGCTATAACTCCATGTAGCACTGCACATTGACAGCACGCCAGATGTGCACTGACACTGTACAATATGCACCTAATAAACAGAAGTCCCTCTATATACATGGCACAGTGCTAGGCACTGTGCCATGTATAGTGTATTTGACCCAAAGTCTGAAAATGACGTAGGGTGCCCCAGTGGATCCCTACACCCATCCCAGAGGCTGCAGGAATTTTTCATAGAAATAGAAAGAATAACTAAATCCAGGGACAAGATAAGACATTGAATGATGGTATATATGGGAATAGGGGGATTTAAGAGTAATGACAGCTGCTGTCTGGAATTGAGCTTTGAAGTGTTTTAAACCTAATTGCCTAATTGAATAAAATTATGTTGTTTACAGAGCTTAATAGCTAAAGCTTAAATTATACACAGAACTGAATGAGTCAAAGCAGTGACTCGCCCCCCTCCCTCCTTTTTCTTTAAGCCTTTGCATGGAGTAAAGAGGAGTGAAGGAAAGGTGGGTTGTGCTGCCAAGGAAGGGTATGAATACATTGATCTTGTTGCTTTGGCCTGCATGGTCAAAGCACAGGTTAATTTAAAAAGTAAATCATAACCTTAACTGAATGATGTCTAGCTTCATAAATGACAATAAAAATAAAATACCAGTATCCCCATTGGAGGATTTCCTCTAATTTCTTGTACCGGAGACAACATTTTGGATGTCCCATCAATCTCTTTTTCAGTGACAGTGATCATGAGTACAAATAATGGGGTGAATCTCCACAATGTGGACACATAGCATTAGAAATGTGACAGAGGGTCTTTCCTATCCCCAATCTATGCAAAACTAAAAGAAAAAGAAATGCATAGAGAACCATTTTAAAATGAGGGCTTTTTTTTCTGGTTTCACCAGGTGTTTAAAAGAGCTACTAAACCTGCTTGGACTGGCAGAAATAATAGCCTCAAAATACCTTTATTGTTTTAATGTAACATATTTTTTATGCTGTAGATCTTGCCGGCAGATTTGTTTCTATTTACTGTAGTGGACTTCCTTTAGCCAAATTTCCTTTTAAAGTGAAATTGCACAACAGCTTTTGTCTACTCGTGGGGCAAAAAAAAAAGAAACAGCGCAGAGTTCCCCTCCCAATTTATACCAGACATCTAGGGGTCTGATAGGAATGTTAGGAGGGGCCCCCGATGTAAAAACAAATGTGGGGTTCCCCTACATATTCATACCAGACCCTATTGTTCAATTAAGGGATTTTTTCAAGGTATGGTGTGTTTATTTACTTTTTACTTTACTCTTGGGTGAATGAGTAGGGGTAACAACTACCTCTTACTCATTCACAAGAGGGGGCGGCATTTGGGTAAAAGGGGGTGCCCAGATGCAAAATGAGCCCCCCTGCCCGCAGACCTCTATAACCACCAGGGCAGGGTTGTGGGGAAGGGGCCCTTGTCCCCATCGCCATGGAAAAAGCACCCTCCCAATGCCGAGGACATGTGACCTGGTATGGTGCAGGGAAGGGGTGGCACTCAGTCATCCCTGCCCTGCTAGGCTACTGCCTGGATTAAGGGTCTGGTTGGGAATTTTAGTGGGGGCTCCACAGTTTTTATTTTTTGGAGGGGGGGGGGG